GACTTGGATACAGGTAAGTAACATCACATTGTAAACAATCACTGAGTCAACACTTGGATACAGGTAAGTAACATCACATTTTATACAGTCACTGAGTCAACACTGGGATACAGATAAGTAACATCACATTTTATACAGTCACTGAGTCAACCCTGGGATACAGGTAAGTAACATCACATTGTATACAGTCACTGAGTCATCACTTAGATACAGGTAAGTAACATCACATTGTAAACAGTCACTAAATCAACAGCTGATTGATATTGGTAATTCGCATTACTACTCTCTGTTTTTTGTCGTCTATAGATACAATGCCGACGTTACGGAGTCAATGCATTGTTGGCACGACGTTAATGCTTTGTAAACGTGATGTCATAAATGGTTTTGGTTGGGAATGTCAAAACTTAGTGTTAGAGGATACCTCACACCGAGAAAAGTGTAGATACACTTGCCCACGGAAAGAGTAAGCCATGTAAACAGTTTGAATTCAGTTAAGATATGCTTCACTATGTACACCGCAACTTTATGTAATCAGTTGAGATACAGGTAAGCTACGTCACAAGGTATATAGCAAGTAACTAAGCAACTTTGATACAGGAGAGACACACCACATTGCGTATACAAAATACTTAAATACCTGGGATGCAGCTACAGAGGACCTGGTTTGGGTCGATCACCCATGACCAGGTAGCTGGTTAGGGCGTCTTTCTAGATTTCAGAGATTCTATTCCTGAACTTGTCAGAGACTATCCAGCACATGCTCGCAGATAACAGCAATGTCACTACATTTGTAGCTAAGATACATGTGCAGCGAGGCTGGTTCGGGTCCACCACCTGGGACCAGGAAGACGGTCGTCTACTGTATGCTTATATACGTTATGGTCTTGTTACTTCTGTGATCTAGGTATGCTAACTTTGTGTTAATTAACAAATGCCCAACGTAGACCATAGTATTGAGAATATATATATTTAATCCAAGAAAGTAAAAAATATTCCAAAAATATTTTTATTCAGCGGTTATGGAAAATGGCAAAGCAGTGCTCCCTATGGCGGAGGAGACGGTCCTATATGGATGGATGACGTCACATGTGGACAGGAAGCGACTTTACTAGTTGACTGTAAATTTAGTGGCTGGGGCACACACGACTGTAAACATACCGAGGTTGTGGGTGTGCGTTGCGACCCTCTGGTGTCAGCAACGTCCCCTTCCACACTACCTCCTACAAAGGTCTCCAAAGTCCTTGAGACGTCCTCGTCCACTGTTCCTCCTACACCAACTACTCCCATGGCCGTTGAAGGTAACAGATATCAAAATGATAACGTCTTTATGTCTTATGATTTATTAGCAGAAAAACTTATCGTTACAAAGCACGCGGTTTACTTTGTAATTGCTTGTTTTATTTTTTGAGATTCAAGATGTTGTGACGTTTTCTCTTTGGTTACTGCTGAGTAATGATGTTTTTCTTGTGTGCTGACGCTATGGTATGTTTTTTCTTATTTTTCGCACGGGTGTGAGGTTATCAGTTTTCAACTGTATTTCGACTTTTCTTTGTTAAGGTCACAGATCAGAAGACATAAGATGACCTTTTACGATCCGTCGTTAACTGTCGCCGTCCATCGTGAATTATCATTTCAAATCTTGACTTTAAACTTAAGAACTAATTAATGTGTGAATTCTAATGAAACTTCAAGTTCAGTACAACGTTCCGACCAAATGTGGGTATGTTGGGTCTGTCAGATATCCCAAACGGGATATAATGTCTGCTAAAGACATTTGATTAAGAAATGAACTACTTTAGAACATCATGATCCTGAATAAAGTGATTATGTTTTCAAAGTGTCCTTTTCTCTTTATGCTCCATTTTGTACACTAGGATTTTGTCACTGAGACACTGCTATTATTTCAGAGATAGGGGTTTAATGTCATTTTTTAATCATTGCAGAATGACGTTTGCTAGATAAGTACTTGGTAGGTATTTTTGACAGATGATATGGAATTTCCACTTCATGTTGATATTGACAACATTTGTCAATCAGTAATGTTGCGATAGGTGATTATTCATTGCTTGATGAAGGGCTAAGCATGAACGTTGTTTGAGTGAATGTTTCACTAACAACATAATTCAATTTTACCTTTGGTCCTTGAAAAAGGTGGTAGGTTTATTGAAAAAAAAAATCAAAAAAATCTGCAGCTTTTCAAAAAAGACAAAAACAAATGATGGTTCTTATCCACAATAGTCTTATTTTGCATCTTTTTGGCGTACGGTGTAGTAAAGAAGTGTTTTTAAAAACATTGTACGGCTTACTACTAAGTGATACGGTAATCTGGACGATTTCAATTTTCTGATTGTGAACTTTCTCTTTCTTGAAAGTAACGTCTCTGCTTACCAATCATATAATGTTAACATGTCGCAGTTTATTCGGAATCCAATATTTTACACAATGCATCATGACTTCTATGATGGTTGTCGACTTCTGACGGACAAACTCACAACGCATGGTTTGCTATGATATAGAATGATAAGTTTTCTGATCTACGTCATGATCGCTTTGGGAATATGGGAATTTCTTTATGTGATATGAAGCTCGATTATTTTGTTGTTCTTCTATGTGTGCCTTCTTGTTTCGCTGTCACTACCCAGGTTCTCCGTATGAGGACGTGACATTGCTTGAGTATGTCATAGATGTACATGACAGAAGACGCTTACCCTTCCGGAACATTTGTTCTTATTCTCCTTGTACTATTTCTATAGTCGCTATGTAAATCTCCCTCTTGTTAATATTTTGCCCAAGTTTTATCTTTTCGAAATACGGTATTGTTAACACCGTTAACCTTGCTCAAACAACTTGTATGAAAATAATTATCATTAATTAACTTTGAGGTCATTTGTGATAAGGGCCCATTGTTTCGATGGTGTTTCGATAGATATAATATACAGTTGAATCAGTGAGATTTAAAAAGTTTTTTTCAACGAGATTTTAAAAGTGTTATTAAACTATTGTAAAGGTTTATGCAATAACTTACAAATGTATAAACTGATTAACGCAAATTACGTGGCATCTCTCCTAACCTAAATATAACTTATTATCAAATACGTTTTCCGGTACACGTCATTCCTGAATGTAAACATCAACGCTGAATAAGCAAAACAATGATTTCACAACAAATCCCAATCTCATATATGTCATAGAAGATCGTTTTGTTTCCTTTCATTAATCCAGGCGGTGTTGTTAGACGAACATAGATCACAGAACTGTATTAACTATTCAAATAACAAAGACAGGATTTACAAACATCATGTTTCTAAAAATCTACAGGGGCCGTCCGCCTGACAGGAGGGCCTACCGACTCGGAGGGTAGGGTAGAGATTTACCATGACGGTCAATGGGGCGGCGTCTGTGACGACGACTGGTCCGAGACTAACACTGCCGTTGTCTGTCATCAACTGGGCTACAGGTTCGTAAACACGTCACCAGATCTAAAGGCATATCACCTGGAGGCTGATGCAAAGGTCTTTTGTATAAACCAGACTATAGGCACGTCACCTGGAGGCTGATGTTAAGGTATTTTGTATAATAATAATAATAAACTTTATTTATTGAGGATACAAAACCTG